CGCCGAGCGTGGGCACGGGAGGCAGGAACGTCGCCGCAAAGCTCGCCACCACTAGGGCGATCGATTCGCCCACCCCCGCGGCGGCGAGTCGTGTCCGGATGCGCGCCTCGAGCGTCTTGCGGATGGTGCGCATGACGGCCGAGCGCCGCACGAGGTGGTCCACCACCCACACCGAGATCGTCCTGCGTGCCGCCTTGCCCGCACCGCCTGCATCTTCTGCGTCCTTACCCTCGCCCTCGGCCGCCGCATCGCGCAGCCCGAGGCCAAGGCTGAACTGCTGCGCCTCGGGCTCTGCATCCGACGATTCCGAGGTGCCGCCGAGCTTCTGCGCATCCACCATTTCGGAGCCAGCCACCTCGTCTGCAGCCGCCTGCCTCCTCCGCTCCCTCCCGCTTCCGCCGAAGATGCTCGCAAACGACGCCGACGCCCTCGAGCCGGCGACGTTGAGCTTCGAGTTGGAGCGCGCGCGGCTCTTGGCCGCGGCGTTGGCATCGTTGGGCACCGCGCGCGGCTGGAGTGGCGGCGGCAACGGAAACGCCGCGTTGGCGGCTGCGAGTGTGAATCTCGGATACGCACATCGGGCGCCGCTGGGCTCCGTAGCATGCGGAAGCGGCGCAAGCGACTCGAGGGTCTCCTGCCGCGCATTGGCATCCTTGAGACTCGACACCGAGCCGTGCGCTTTGACGACGAAGCTCTGCAGGCTGAGCGTGGCCGCTGCTGCATCCGCGTCGCTCGAGGCTGAGCCCGGTGCTGATTCGGCGGGGGAGGATCGTGCAAGCCGGCCTCGGAGGCCCGAGAGTGTGAGAATCGGCGTCTCTGCGCTTTCGCTCAGCGAAGCGGGCGAGGGACGGGGCGCCGAGGTGGAAGCCGCATTGAAGATGGTATGATCGTACGCAAAGGATGCGCTGAGCTGCGAGGCTGAAGTGAACACCGACGGCGGGTCGCGCGGCAGCAGGATGGTGGCGTCTCCGTTGGCGAGCAGCTCGGCGACGGCGGCCCACTCGCCGTCGGTGGCCGCCTGGAGCGCCTCGAGGATGAGCCAGCCGGCGCTCTTGTTGTTCAGCCCCAGTCGGCGGGCATTGTCGTGCATCTGCTGCAGCTGCATGCGTGCCACAGCCGCGCGCTGCGACGTCTCGTGCTCGTTGGCGGCGTTTCTGCTGCTCTCCCTCGGCGGGGCATCCGGCAAGGAGATGGTGGGATAAGAGGGCGAGGTGCTGAGGTGCGACGTAGCCGTGAGTGGCGCTGCATGTGCATTGGCTCTTGGCGTCAACATCAAGTTGGGCAGATGCTGTGAGGGTGAGGTGGGCGTCTGGGATGGCTGTGCGCCTGCTGCCAACTGTGCCGAGTGCGACTGAAAGATGGCTGCAGCGCTGGGACGAAGCACCGAGTTGCGCTGTCGGGGGGCATAGTTGAGGCTGTGGTAGGTGCGCGACGCAGGCAGCGGGGTCGTGGGTGTCGAGGGCGTGGACGACGACGGCGAGTCGGTGAAGTCTTGAGGCGTGCGTGCGTCGGAGCCAAAAGTGCGCCCGATGGTTTTGCTCTTCCACTCGGCCCGGTCGACGTCGAGCCTTGCGATGGGGAAGCGAGGCGATGCGTCCGAGCCCGACGCCAGCGGGCTAGATGCCCGCGGGCTGGGCGAGTTGCGGTCCATGCTGCGCGCCGATGATAGCGCTCGGAGGTGCACAGTGGTCGTTGGAAGGCAAGGATGCAATGCGAGCCCAGTCAGGGTCCTTCAACAGAAAAAAAGCGCAGTCTGCCAGTGTTGGTTTCACGCCATCGGCCGTCAAAATATTCACTCGCACGGACGCAGCCAACTTCATCTCGACCGCTCAGCGCAACGACGTGGTGTGAATGCGATCGAGTGGGACTGCACTACGGACAAGGGTATACTGGGTGGATGGGGACATTTCGAACGGCTCCCGCGCCTCTGACTGCACCATCAAGCGCTCCTATTGACGCGGCCTCCTCGACGCCTGCAGCCGTTGCGCCGGACATGCTTGGTGGAAAGCCGGTGCGCATGGCAAACGTGGGGCTTCTGACGATCTGATCCGTCCTATCCAAATGGAACTCGTCGATGATCGGCAGTTGGAGGACGTTCATCTTGGGGGTGATGCACACGAGCGTGTTGGTGGGGATCTCCATCCAGTCTGCCTTTTCAAACGTCAACGGCTCCGAGGCTACGACGATGATCTTTTCGCGCTTGTCGGTCTTGACCATCCTGTACGCTCCGGGCGAGTGCTCGTAGAAGCTCGTGCCGGAAGAAAAGTAGAGCGAGGCGGCCTGGTCGGATTTGCTGCTGACGTAGCGCGTGCAGATGATGCTCTCTCCATCCGTCACGCAAAAGTTCATCAGACTGGGTTCGCGAATGCCCGCCTGGCTCGCCCATGCGTTGAAATCGCGGATGGTGGCGAGCATGGCATCGCGCAGCTCCTTGTACGAGAACGGATCTGTCTGCAACGGATCCCCGAGGTGGCTGAGGAAGACGGCAAAGGCGAATTCCGAATCGGTATGACCCTGCGGGAAGAGGAAGAGCGGTTCAGGCAGGGCGGCGAGAACGCGACGTTTGATGCGGGAAAAGTCCGAGATCTGACCGTTGTGCATCCACATCAAGCGGCCGTACCTCCACGGATGGCAGTTGGTCTCGGACAGCGCGCCTGCTGTTGATGCACGTACGTGTGCAAACACCAGCGGCGACTTGATCTTCTCGGCGATCCGCTGCAGATTCTGGTTGTTCCACGCCGGCGTCACCGAGGTAAAGATGCACGGCGCATCGCCCAGCTCCGCATCGCGCGTCGAGTCGTACCAGCCCACACCAAAGCCGTCGCCGTTGACGGCGCGCGTGGCGTCGAGACGCAGCCGCGAGTCAAACGCCTGGTTGATGATCGAATGCGCAGGCCGTGTGACCAGATGGCAGAGCTGGATCGGGTCCGCGCCCTTGAAGACTGCCACAGGCGCAGACAATCGTAAGTACAGTGTATGCTGGGCGCAGACTACTTCCAAAAAAGACTCACCTAGCAGCCTGCACATGGTGGGCTGTGCGCCGGACGGTTCTGGACACTCGGATGCTGGAGTGCAAGCCGCAAGCTGCTCGACGCTTCGAGTGTCGAGTGACTCGGGGTTGCGGGGGGCACGCCTTATCGCGTCATTGCGCCTTATTTTTGGGCGGGCGAGGGCCCCAAGCGTGGCTGAGTTTCCAAACAAATAGGAGGCCGTAAAAACCTCTCGAAAAAGGCTGTCCAAAAAAGGGTCCAAAAAACGGTCTTCGAGTGCCAAGGTGTTGGTCTCTGCCAGATGCCCAACGGCTTCCAAGCGCATGCTTACCTTGCTATGCGCGCTTGACGCCATCCTTCACACTCCCGCACCATGGCTTCCACGTCCACTCGCCGTCTCGTAGGTGGGACTTGCACGGTCGATGTCACCTCGGGCCTGGTGGCGCACTCGGACGGTCTGAGCAGCCGCATCTACCGCTGGCCGCTCGTCTCCTCGCCCTCGTTTCCCTACGCCCGCTCTCCACCCTCCAGCTCGTATATCCAAGGGCTGGAAGGGCTGGCCTTGGCAGCGGAGCGCGCAGGGGGTGTGCGTGGATGGACATGCATCAAGCGCGTGCACATCGACGAGGAGCCACGCCCGCATTCGGTGCGCCGTGAACTTGCGCTTCTGTCCACGCTTCCTGCACACGAGAACATCGTCCCGCTCTTGTCGGCGTTTTGCGATACCACCGATCCGTTTGGCGAATTTGTCGATCTGATCATGCCGCTCTACGCAGCCACACTGGAGGACGTGCTGCAGGAACCCAGCTTACTCCGTTTGCCTTGCCAAGGTTCGATGGAGAGAGCAGGGGGGTCGATCCGGCACCTTTGGGAGGATTCCCCCGCAGCATTTGCGCACAGTGTCGCGCTACAGATGCTAAGCGGGCTGGCGTTCCTGCATGGTAAAGAGGTTGCACATCGAGACGTCAAACCGGCCAACGTGCTTATTGCACACACGGGTGCAGTCAAGTTGTGTGACCTTGGAACCGCATTCTCCCCGTCGAGTGCGGGCGAAGAGGAGCAAAAGATGGTGTGCCAGGTGGGAACGGGTATCTTTCGTGCACCGGAACTCCTCTTCTCCCCCTCCCAGTACGATGCCTATGCTGTTGATGTTTGGGCGACCGCCGTAACGCTAGCGCATTTTCATACCCCGCTCATCCCCACCCTCACCACCCCCGTTGCAGAGGTCGAGGTGGATGAACGAACACCCTGGCAGAGAGCCTTTGACTCCAACACGGAACCCCCTTCACCCGGCTCCGACCAACTTGTCTTTTGGGAGGAAGAGCCTCGGATGCCCCAACAATCCGCTTCGGGTTACATCCGAACGCCGCTATTCGAGCCGGACAGAGGCGACATCGGCCTGGCCGCCAGCATCTTTAACCTTCTCGGTCTGCCCACCGATCTCAAAGACTGGCCTGAAGCAGAACACTTCCATCCGCCCCTTCACCGTCTCCCCTTCACCCCCACACAAGCAACCGGCATCCAATCAGCCCTACCGCTAGCAACCAACCCCAACCCTCTCGTCGACAGCCTCATCAAACCAGCCCTCCACCTCTCCGCTTCCCACCGACCGACCGCTGCCCAACTTCTCACCTCCCTCCCATCCCCCCACACACCCGCAGAGAGATAAAAAGTAATAGTAGATTCGCACACTGAGCTCGCAGAGTGGCTGGAGCGGTACTGGTACAGGCACCTATCGCCCTCGCTGCCGCGGCTTGGCGGTGCAGAAAGTGCATCTGCCTGCACTCCCACCGACCATCCAGCGCCAACGAGGAGAGCAGAGTGCGCAATTAGACCAAGAGGGAAGTCGAGGAGAGAGAGAGATGCGTCGAGAGAGCAGACAGGGAGAAAAATGCGATGGGATGATGGTACAACATGCAGACATGCAGAGAGAGAGAGAGAGANGGAAGTCGAGGAGAGAGAGAGATGCGTCGAGAGAGCAGACAGGGAGAAAAATGCGATGGGATGATGGTACAACATGCAGACATGCAGAGAGAGAGAGAGAGAGATAGAGAGAGAGCGATAGAGAGAGAGGGGGAAGGGGAAGGAAGGAATACAGAGGAGAGAGGGGGAGTGTGCGATCGATCCGGACCGGAAGCTCTAAGCCGCCACCGAGCTTCCGTCACGGACATACACCGATGCAGCGAACAAAGGAGAGCAGGCGAGCTTAGATCTCTGCCGACACGCCAGCTGCGGCCTGGCGCGGGAAGGGCAGTGCCATGCTGACAGCCGCCGCGGCATGCTGCGCCTCGTCCACATGCACATACTTGGGCTGCACCTGGCTGGCCAAGCACGGACTGACCGCGCGCAGCTCCGTGTCCAGCGCCACCGCCGCGCCCGTCACATTGTCCGACTGCGAGCGGCTCAGGCTGCTGCGTCTCGCGCCCGCCTGGCCCGTCTGGCCCGCCTCGGCATTGCGAGCGCGCTTCAGCTCGGCCGTCCACCTATGCCACTCGCCCTCGGAGATGACGAGGCGGTAGTCGATCGCCTTGAGAAGCGCACGCTCCAGCTTGCCCAGATCCTTGACCGGCAAGCCCGAGATCTTGGACCAGGCGCGGTTCGAGTAGGTGCGATCCTGCACAAACTTGCTCGCCACCATGATCGACGCCAGGAACATGCGGCGCGGGCACCGGATCAGGCACAGCTCCTCCTTGCTCATGCCGAGCATGGGCGAGGCGGCGTCCGTCTCGACGCTCACCTGCACGCCCACAGCGCGCGTCGACTCTTTGAGCGTATGCTGCGCCGACTGCTTGGCCGCATCGCCCAGGCGCACGCAGTACAGCAGCGCCGCCTGCAGCGTCGAGCACGACGCGCGCCCACGGCGAAGAGTCTCGCGCACAAACACCTGGAGCGGCAGCGCACTCTTGCCCTTGTTCAGATCGCACGCCGCAGCGGCCGAGGGGCTCGAGGCGTTCCAGATGACGTCCAGCGTTCGGCACGCGGCGTCTGTTGCGGAAGCGAAGGGAGCAGGTAGCAGCCGAGGGAAGATCAGCACGTGAACTGGGCGGGATCGCAGTCAAAAGACTTGGGACAAAGACAGTATACTTACCAACTAGTCCATCGACGAGAGCATTCTTGGACTCGTCCGCCGACGAAGCCGAGGGTGACGAGGTGGAGGCGGGCGAGATGGCGGACGGGCCAGCGCTAGCAGCAGGGGCCGCAGCGCCACTGGCGACGCCGTCCACAGACGGCAGGCAAGGCTGAGCGGGTTGGGAAGCGGTGCCGACGACCTCGGTGGCGAGTCGCACCACTTCGCCCTGCAGATCGCGGATGCGCTTGGCGCAACGCTCGCGCTCGGCATGCGAGGCGGCGAGCAGGTCGGCGCGCCATGTGGCAAGGTTGTCGAGCTGCTGAGACGAGGCGGTCTCGCTCATGGAACTCTTGCGCGAGCAGGGCGTCTGGTCGCCGATGCTCGTGTGCGAGTCGTAGCCCGACTCGGAGCCGTCGTGCTCGGACGAAAAGACCGAGGCGTGGCTCGAGGCTGCGGACGAAGAATACGACGACGAGGCGTCCGAGTTGGAGCGCGAACGCTTGCCGCAGATGGTGGGCACCGCAGCGGCGAGGCTGGCGGTGCTGAGGAGGTGGGGCTTGCCAAGCACCGACTGCTCGAGAGCAGTGGTGTGGCTGGCGAGGTTGAAGCCGTTGAGCTCGACATAGTCGGACATCGCAACGGCAACACCGTCGGCAGCCATGGTTGGCAAGAGGAGAGTAGGAGGCTGCATACTGGCTAGCCTAGCTAGGAGGGGATGATGATGCTGAAGTGCTGCGAAGCGAGATCAACAGCAAAAGCAGCAAAATCAGGTGCGAGGCAAAGTGCAATTCGAGTCTAGCTTCTGGGAGAAGTAGCGAGAAGGGAACTGTTGAGCTTTGCAGCGAGTGAGGGAGGATATGATATCGGGTAGAGAGTATCAAAGGTTATGAGCCGATGCGACGAAACCAAAACACGTAGATGAGGACCGGGTGGATGACGGCGAAGACCGCAATCCTGGAAGATGTGGAGTGTGCGAGGACCCTGTTGTAGGGACAGGAGAGCTCGCGGGTAGATATCTAGAACGATGCGACGTCCAAGATGTCCAGAGTTGGTTGTAGCGACAAGACCAGCGACAAGGATGAGGCCGGCCAAGAGTAAAGAGGGGGAGATGCTATGAAAGCGAGAGAAAGCTAAGAGTGTCGAGAGAGAGATTAAAGACGCGGAGCGGACCCTGGCGGATACGTGGGCGCTGGTATTGGCGAAGGGGGACCTTGACCAGACGATTCTGTGGTACAGAACGCTGCTTCTAAAGTCCCCACGAGGGGGCGACGATGGAGGAAAACATTGTGTGCGCTGAGTTCGTGTGAGGTTGAGCTGGCTACGTTGTGGAGAGAGCTTCGGGAGACTCTAGCTGCCGACGATGATGGAGGCTAGAGGGTGCGATGGATCGGCTGAGTCGCAGAGACGATACTGTCGGTGGACATGCGAAGAGGATCGAGGTGACGAAGCTGAGTAGAGGCTGAGTAGCTGAGTCGTATAGACACGAGCTGACGACGACGATGGCCTTGAGGTAGCGGTGGATGTGGAGAGAGGTGGCGGGGTGGGTAGAGGAACTGAGCAAGAAGCGAATCCGGTTGAGGGCGGGCGTGCGAGGCTCAGCTAAAAGGACTTGGCGGTGCTCGAGGAAGGAGTCACGGAGCACCAGCGTGGGGGATGACGAGGTGTGGCAAGGATTGCGCGCGCGCGCAAGAGCAAGTGGCAAAGGCGCGTCTTGACCGGGCAGACCCTGAGACTGGATGTCGAGCTGAGTCGATGCGATGCGGGGTGGGGCAGTGCTGGCGAGTTGTTGGGGGGGGGTGTAGCTGAGTCGTAGAGTGTCGAAATGGAGAATGATGATGGTGACGACGACGACAAAGGCAACCAGAAAAAGTAAAAGACTGAGCTTGACGATACGACGAGGAGGAGTCACGTCTGCGAGAGGATGTCTGGGATGGCCCTCCAAGTGAGCGAGGTGAGCGAGGTGAGCGGTGAGCAGCGGCAGTAGCGGCAGAGAGTGGCGGAGATAGGCGACGGCACCCGAGTCACAGAGTCGCTGCCGTCCAAGTTCAGGCGGATGGACAGAGGCTCCGACGACGCGCGCAACCCAGCCCAGCCAAGCAGCCAAGCGAGTGTGGCAACGATGCCCAAAAATGAAGCGGGAGCAGCGCGCTTTGTCTCCTCACTCGCGCCACGCCCTGCCCTGCCCTGCCCTGCCCACAGGCGCCATTCGGCCTCGAGTGGAGGCGCCGCTTCTGCCCCAGATCGGCTCAGCCACACACCAGCTGCCCACTTGTCCTTGCTCTTCTTTATAATACTGCTTTGCAGAATGGCATCTATCTGCCTTTCAGTCCAGGTGTGGTGTCCAAAGCATCAACTCGATCAACAAAAAATGAGCAGTTTGAGAGGAGCATCTCGAAAAGAGGGAGAGGGGAGCCGCTCAATGGCAGCGCCGAGTCACCGCCCAGCTCACCCGAAACCACCGGCTGAGCCGGTCGTCGAGGGTGGCAGAACGGGCGCTGGCATGCAGACTCACCCCAACTGTGCTGGGGCACCTGAACAGTGTCTTTGCGGATGGATCGGCCGCCTGCCTGCCGACATGGTCTGCGCAAACGATGCGGAGGCGAGCGTCTGCGGCCTGTCCAAAACAGCATCCGACCCAGGGGTGCGCTGCGCCAACACTGCTCCTGCGCCGTTTGCCAGCTTTGACGTCCAAGGGCGGATGACTCCTTTCCGCAATTTCAGACCTGCGCTCGCCTCCATCCCGCACTACACACTGCTCATCCGCCTCAAAGTTCGGAGAATCCGCCGCACCGCCTCCACTCGAGACTAAATCTGGGATGGCGCGCGATTTTCATGGAAATTTCGCGATCTCGAGGCACTTTACCGCTCTCTTGTCTGCGCCGGAAAACAAAATCGATTCTGAAATGCTCGACCTTCTTTTCCGCGCCTGTGCCATTTTGGGGGGGGGGGGGGCTTGAGA